TTTCTATTCCCATTTATGCTCATTTTATATCATTTCTTTTGAAATTCTGAGATTTTTTTTGACCTTTGTTTCTCTTTTTCATTTCATTTATTCGTGGCGTATTCAGTCGTTCTCAGCTCCCCTCAAACTTTGACAGTTATCTGCTGTACGACAGAGACGAGTTTTTTCAGCAGTGTCTTCAGGGAAACACCACTTCTGAGATAGGGCAGCGGGATAAATCCAAGCGAGAGAAAACACCCTTTTGGAAAAGCAAGTCCTTATGCTCTTTTTCTTCATGTCCTCGCGCTGTTCCTTCTTTTGAATACAGGGGAGCGCGATAATTAACCAAACCATGTGCCCTGGTTTTCTTCTTGCTGCAGCCTCTCTTAATAACAACAAACAAGGTCTCCTAAGGACTGCTCTAATTTCTCCGGGAATTTTGTTTGTGTACACAGAGATCATTATTCATTTCTTCTCATTTCAATATTTGCACCAGGTTAATAATAGCCCTCCGCATCTCCAGCCCGTTTAGAAGCGTAAGGCGGGAGAGCGAGAGTGGTGAATTCCAGCATTCAAACCTGTCACGTATTAGCGGTGAGTACTTGACTTTATATACATACGTATATAAATAGATAAATTCACGTCAGGTCACTCAAGAGTGGGCAGGAGGGGAGAAATCGGAGCCGCTTCGCCGCCCTATTTGTTCAAGATGGGGTACCGTTCGCGCTTTTGCCAAAGCCCCGCGGCTTGAGTGCCCCAAAGCACGACTCGCACCCAAATCCCCGCCGGGGAACAATGGGCGTCACGTGGTCGCTCACGTCTATCCGTTGTCACGCCTGTCCCTCTCTCCTTCCCAGGGCGCGGGGCCGCTGCCGGGCGCTTTTGGGCGCTGCGGCAGAGCTGCGAGCAGTTAATAGAGGGCCCAGGAGGAGATCCCAGTTACTGATTGTCCCTGATTGTTGTTTTCTTGATAAAGGAGCGAGCCACTGAATGGCGGTTTGAGCCGAGGCGCCACAAACACAAACTTCGCAGCTGCCGCGTCCCGCCCGCGCCAGGATCACTCCGCACCTCGCGAGGCGCGCGGCGGGGGGCGGGTTGGGCCGCTCCATGGAGCTCTCCAAAGGACTCTGTCACTAACCGGAGCGCGGGGAGCGACACTGAGGGGAGCGTTCTCAGAGTCGGGGCTTTGGTCTGTGAGATGCACTTTGCGGAGCTGAGAGAAAGAGAGAGGATGAGGCTTTTTACATGAGGTTGCTGTTTCGCTTTATTGAATTTTCTGCCCGCGGTTGAGCGGCACCAAACAAGTGCTCGGGGCGAGGACGGGACCGGAGCCACTCTCAGCCGCGATGGCGGGTCGGGCCGGGCCGGGCCGGACCAGCCGTGCGGGACTCCGCGCTGCTCTCGTGGCTCATAGCTTTATCTGTAGCCCAGGATTTCTCCCGGGGTAAGGGGGTGTAGGGGAGAGAAGAAGGAAGGCAGAAGGTTGCAAAACAGGATTCTTGCTGCAGAGTGTCTTTGCTTTTCTATTTTCTTTTCTGCCGGCAGACAAAACACGTCAAGGTGTGTTTGTGGGAGAGAGGAGGGCGGAAGGGTTTTCCAGAAATAAATGACACGAAGCAAACCAGAGCTCGGCTCCTATCTCCGGGCATACCCCGGACGGCAATAGGAAGAGGAAAATAGGGTGTTACGGCGGCTTTTCTTTGGGAGGGCTGTTCAGGTCGGTAGATCTCCAAGGCTAATCCAAACAACTCGCTTGACTTGTGAGGTCCGGAGTCTAGACAGAGCTGGTGGCTCGGCGGCTCCTTATCTGGGTTTGGGATCAGCCCAAAGAGACTTTTCTTAATGTCCACAGCAGCACTGGGATCTGCCGGGGCCGGGGAGCCACCGCACCTCGCAGACAGCACAACAAACACAGCCACCACCTGGAGCCTTTACAGCCGCTTTGTTGTCGCGGGGCCAGCGCGGCGGCGGCTCCGCTCCCTGCCCGCCCCCAAAGCAGCCCTGGTGCCCCGCAGCATCAGCCCCTTCACCCCTGCCGCGGGCACTGCACCTCACCGGGACCACGCGGCACTGAGCGCTCCCGGCTCTGGTCGGGAGCTGCACTTTGCCTTCATTTACTTATTTATTTATTCCTTGTATTTGGTTTTATTAACATTTTTTTTTCAGTTAAAGTTTTGCATAGAATAGGCGGGGGGGGGGAAATATCCCAACTCACTCACCAACGCACCGGCATTAAGGAACGATCGAAGCAAATCAATTAAGGGGGAGGAAGTCGGTTTAGATACAAGATCTTCTTTGAGAGCAGAAAATTGCCCTCTGTATTAGGCTCTTTATGCCGGCTGTGTGGATACTGCAGGCTG